TACCTACTGAATGAAATCATAGCTGAGACTTAGACAGGTCACTGCTCTAATAAGCCAATTCTGTTGACCCCTGACAAAGCTTCAAGCACCTTTATGGCTGATGAAAGGGATACTTAGTATCTTATAGAACTGGATTTTATGTTGTAGATTCATAGAAAAATTTAGCTTGGAAGGGACATCTGGAGGTCTGTAGTCCAACCTTCTGCTCAAAGCAGGGCTAGCTTCAAAAATCAGATCAGGTTCCTCCAAGCCTTGCCAAGTTTTGAAAATCTCCAAGGCTGGAGACTGAACAGCCCTTTTGGGGCCCTGTCTCGGTGATGCACTAGTCCCACTGAGATGATTTCTTTCCATATTTCCAATCAGTATTTCCCTTGTTGCAGCTTATGACTATTGCCTTTTGTTCTTTTGCTGTGCGTCTCTGAGAAAAGTCTGCGTCTGTCTTCTCCAATAGATTAAGGTAGTGGAAGGCTGCAATTATATCCCCTCTTGGCCTTCTTGTCTCCAGGCTAAACAAACCAGTTGCCCCAGCCAGGGGGTACAGGGTGCCAGTTGTACATCAGGTGCTCTGGTCCCCTAACTGCCTTAGCAGCCCTTCTCTGGAGTCTCTCCAGGTTGTCAGTAGCTGTTGTTCTGTGGGCCCCAAACTCCAGCTGTGGGGTTGTTTGCTCAGCCCTCGGCCTGGCCTAGCGCATGGGGTACTTCGGACCCCGTGCACAGCTTTGCATTTGCCTTTGTTGAACTTCATGAGGTACCTGCTAGCTTGCTCCTCCAGTTTGTTGAGGTCCTTCTGAACGGAAACCCTGCTCTCCGGTTTATCAACCACTCCTCCAGTTTGGATGTCACTTGAGGAGGTTGTGTTGTGTCTCAGCATCCAGGGCCATATGGCATAGCAGCAGGGTAACATATTGACTTAGTCAGCAAGTGATAATTTTCAGCTTATCTGGCAGGAATAGAATTCTTGATAACTGTTGACCAGAATTCATGGAATATTTTTGGCCACTAGACTAGACTAAATATACAATATACTTTGCAGCTCATGTTATGCTAATTAGAAATATATATAGCAATTGTATTTTGATTATACATATCTAAATATGTTTTTATCTAGTAAAGGTATTTCTGATGGACAACTTTGTGTGGAAAAGAAATACAAAATAGATAATCAGTAATATATAATTTTATATATATATACATAGAAGTGGTTGGAATTATCTGAGTAGAAGAATTGTAACAACGCACTGCTCAATACCTGTGACTCAATACCTGGCTCAATACCTGACCCTGCCCGCTCCAACCACCCTGATCTGCGCTGCTGCACTGCATGCCTTCAGAAGTCACTATGAAACTCTTGCTTGCTTTGCTGTTGTGCCTTATATTTGTGATGCCACCACTCTATGTTATGATGGCCAAGCTGAAGGAAGGATGTGGTGTTTGGAGAAGAAGTTAGAGGGGTTTTAATTGCTGAAAATGCAAAGCAGAAAGCTTCTCTCTTCGTGCACTAGCCCACTCTGCTGCAATCATTTTTCTTTATTGACATCCCTGGCTGTGCCGGCGAAAGGAAGCAGACACTCTCCGATAGGAAGCAGTGCAGTGTACAGTCTAATGCGAGAGTGTTCTTAGCTTTCTGTTAATGCAGTGTTTGCGGTATCCCACAATCTCTTTGCTAAGGTACTGCAAGAAAAAAGGTAGCTGTCTCTTCCAACTTTTTTCTCTTACAAAAACAGGCCACACACTGTAGCAACATCCAACCCAACCTCTTCCTGGTGTTTAGGTTTACCAATGATAAAATAACAATGAATATTCATATTCCACATATTACTAGCTCTTCTTAGGACAGCTCAGCCTAGGCCCAAGATTCCCGTTCATCACAGAACTGCTTCCACCACCCTTCTCTTTGTGTGGGAGAGAAGCAGCCACCTTGCCTCAATGAATCAGGCAGTGAAGAGGGCAGAGAGGGCTCTGCGGGAGACCTCCATCTCTTTATACTTCACAAGGAGGTTTCCCTAATGTGGGGCCTTCCATTGCATTGCCCAGTCACAAAGGGGTACATTGCAGTTCGAGACGGAACATGGCTACAACGTGCAGATCTAAGCTACATCCTCCTAGAGTAGCAGGCAGAGCTGTTAGGTTTAGGGTTACATTTCAGGTTTGTTGTTGAGAAATGTCTCAACCTGTGAAACTGTACCTACCCTGTCTAGGAATTTGAAACCACGTTTTCCCAAAGATCATGCATCTGCCTGCATCAGTTCCAATGGGCCTATTTCTTAAGAGAGGAAAGGCTTCGTCACTTGGTCACAACCATCATAGGTGAAGCTACAATACAGTTTCTTTTCTAAGACCTTATTTTCAATACCTGTCTGAAAATCTGCAAAATGGAGCGTTGAAATTTAAACTAACTGGCTTCTGCCTAAAGATGAAAATATGCTTTTAAAAGCAGTTCATATTTTGATTGAGAAAACTAAAAAAGTTTCATTAAATTTTTTTTTTTTCCTCCTGACCTTTTAGTTTAAACAGCCCTGCAGCCAAAGTGGGTGAGATTTGAAAGTCGGTTGGTTTTGATTTGAATTATAAGCATCTGAATATAACACACTGAGTAGGTACAGTATGGTTTTTAGTTAAGTTCATTAAAAACATGCAAGTATGGAAGGACACGGTTTTAACTGGGTGCTATGAACTTCTTAAGTCCTCAGAATGGCTTTCCAGGTCATAAGTTCTACATTCTACAGGAGAATTACAATCTGCTGAACAGATACTCAGTTTGACCAGCACGTTCACATTCCCACTACACTGAGAATTGCATTTTCCAAACCAGACACTGCAAGTTGCATTATCAAGACATTGGTCATCACATAAGTGGGTGGAGGAAGGAATGCTAATACTTTCAAAACCTGCTCACATTTAGACCCAGACTTTTCAGTAGAGTGCAGCTCGCCGGACATAACAGTTTGTTGTGTAAGTGGACCCCTGTAAAGATTTTTAATGTAGCTGTTTAAAGGAAAATTAGAATAGGGAAAGATACTGCAAAGGTCGTAATGGGAACTCATAGTGTTGAGCTCATCTTTCAGCTGAATTGCCTAAGGTTGCGTATGAAGTCAGTAGATAAGCTGTCAACAGTCCTGAATTCACTTTCCATTCAAATCTGGTTCTTGTACAGAGCGTTCGGTGAGATGTCTGATGTGCCAAACAAGATGTCTTTAAATTAAAGCTTAAGTCTAATTGTAAAGGTACCTATACTCCCCAGGGAAAAAAATCCCACTTGCATTTACCAAGGGAGTTTTCAGTCCCTTGGATAATATATATCTAGGAGCACCACAAAGGTGCTCAGTGCTCAGTTTTACACTTCCAGTCTCAAGGCAGAAGTCATTTCCAATAAACACAGCCTAAAGGCTCAGAGCTTGAGTTAGAGGAGAGGGGAAAGCAGTTTCTGATGTAGTATCAAACCTCCTAATGGTGTTGTTAAAAACTAATTTTTCACTGCTCCTTTTATTTGTCAACAAATAGGTGACTGCTAGGTGCTGTATATCTTACCGCAATGTGGATGCTTACTGGGCAATGACAAGTGTCTCAGCTTAACATTCCCTCCCTCCTGGTATATCATATAGTTAACTCAACTTCTATGTTTCATGAGTCTTTGTCTGCAAACAGAGAACTTTCTACTTCCGGGAGACTCAGTGGGAATACTCAGGCTTGCCTCTATTAAGTATGATGACATTTGCTGACTTTGTCATGTCGAGTGACATATGAAAATTGGCAATTAATAGTACCTGGCTTCAGGGGGAGAAACAATTGTATATCACTTGTCTGTAGGCAGCAGAGGCTTCAGATGTAACTCTCTGAAAATAAAGCAGTTGTCCCAATTTAAGCTCATTTCATTTCTTTCCAGAGAAGTGAAATACAGTCGCTCCGGTGATAGTGTCAAGTCATCCCTCTGTATTATTCTATTTGTTTCACCACAGCCTCTTCTCTCCAGGGAGCTCATTTGTATTCTCTTGCTTTCAGGTCATCTGCCTCTTAGTTCGTGTCATGGATTTAACTTTGCCTTCTCTTTAGTATAAATTCAAATGTTACTGTCGCCGCCAGACTGAGCCCGGAAACCACAACTGTGACTATTTAGCAACCTATTTTAAATTCAGAAAAAAAGCCATGTACCTAAATATTTTATGGCTAATGGCCATTTGGCTTCAGGTCTAGATCTCAGTATTGAGAATAATGCTTACTATCACTATTGCTGCATGCCACTGCTTTTGAGTATTTGCTGATACTGTATTTAGAAATGCATTTTTTCCCCTTTTGAGAAAACATTGACCATCTAGAAGGGCAGTTTGGGCTCCACTCGCGTCAGTCACTTGCATCAGCATGAAGATGATCCGCTGCGTATATTTTGGCTGTTTTCCTCATGGCAACCCTGCTTCTCCCCTTGCAGTGCTATGGGCAAATAAAAACTTGTAGTCGGCTTCTGAAGTGATTGGCTGAACATATGTGCCCAGCTCTAAATTTAAGCATAATTTAAAATTTTTGCCACTGATATATCACTTTCCCCTTCCCTCAGTCTGTGTGAAATGGTCTGGCCATCTACAGCAAAAGTACGTTTCTAATGAGACTGCTACTACTGTGGAATCATTGTCCAGAGATCAAGCGTGAGTGAATGTTGTCGCCTAGCCTCCAGACGATGAGGCCAGAGTCAAGATTTTCCTCCAGATCTCCACCTAAAGCATCTACCAGTAAAGCTTATCTGAATGCCCATAACAGCTCGGGTTCAAGCAGGTCTGCGCAGCCAGTTCAGTCACAAACAGACTGATTTTCTGCGTGCAGATGCAGACTAACACAGCCTACTCTGGTTAGCCTGCAAAATGCAATGCTAGCTGTGATTTGGGGTACTGTCTTTGGATGACCTGACTCACAAAAAGCCTAGGTCTGATCTCTTCTTACCCCACAGAGCTCTGCTCTACACTTGCAGGTCCTTGTCCTTGTCCCCACCAGCGCCCAGCAGTACCTGTTACCCTGCTGCCTTCTGCGCTATAGCCCAAAGTCCTCCCATCCCTCTGAGTTTTGATCCTCCTCCCTGCAGCTTGCATCTCCGCTCTGTTCAACTCTCCCCCGTGCCTCTCAGTGCTCTGCACCGCTGTGTTTGAAGGCAGCAAAGGTGGCCCCTGTTCTCTGCAGGCAGCGGCACTCCCTCTTGCACAGGCAGGGCTCTCGAAGCAATGGGTTTTACCCCTACTCCCCACAGCCTACGCTCCTCCAGCCAGCTCCCGGGGAAGCAGTGCCAGACCTCCTGCTGCCCAAGCCGCCGGCTGGCCGCGCAGCCTGCTCACGCGTGTGCTGCGCAAACCCACACCGCGTGCAGGCACCCACGGGGATCGGTTCCCCCCGGCTACGGGGGTGCCCCCCTGGCCCCGGGTGACCTTGCAGGTAGGGCGGCTCCGTGCCGGCGTGAGTCGGGCCTGTGCTCGGGCCGCCGTCTCGGCGCTCGGTGCCGCGCCGGGGCGCATTGGGAGGCACCAGCAGCACCTAGTGGTGAAAGCCGGCCCGAGCGGCGGGGAGGGCGCAGCGGGGACGACGGGGCTCCGCCAAACATCCCTTTTCTTTGGTGAAACTGCACTTTGCGCTGGCTAGAAACGACCCCCAGGGAACACCGCGTCTCTCCCTCATGCGGGACTGTGGGGACAAGCCAGGAGAAAAGCAGAGTAAAGGGGGTTTCTCCAGCAGAGGTGGCTCTAGACAGAGATGCGGTTCAACACCTCTGCAAACAGCTGTGATGAGTCTTGCCAAGAGCTTGGTCTCTGCCAAGCCCAGAACAGGGACCTGGTACATCCTCTCACTAGCGAGGCTTCGGATTTGGAGACTGAAAACAGATCGTTTGATATAGATCACTTCACATGCAATACCCTGACTTTTCCCATGGCATTTCTCTCTTTTTCAAAGAATCTGAACTGTACCGATTTGCATCACAAGCCCTTTACTAAAAGGATTTGAGTAGTTTCCCTGTCTGGCCAGCGATTTCGGAGACATCATGCTGTGTAATGGCATTAAGGTGTCAGGACCTGAGTGTCCAAGGAAACATTACAGGACTTTATATGCACCTTTATTCATGGGTCTCTGAGCAATGCATGCACACACCTGACCAACGGAAGTACTGCCAGCTTTGGGGGGGAAACAGCAAAATAGTAGCAGGAAAATGCTAAAAGATTATTTTAGGGCAAACAATCTTTTCTTTAATAGAAAAGTGTTATCCATTAGATCTTTAAATGTCGACAGATATTGGAAAAAAATCTTAGTTTATATGGTCTCATGCTACTATGCTCAGTGCCTCATCTGCAAGTCTTTCTTAGGAGGAAGAAAGGTTGAGCTGAGTCTTCTGGATATTACATGTGTAGTTGTGGCATTTGGTGAGCTGTTTTATTCCTGAGGCTTAGATAACCAAACCACCCGCTCTACAGTAAAACTGAAAAAGAAAGCAAATAGTGTCCCAGCACAGCAGTAGCGCCCTGCACCGTGTTCTGCTTCGAACACCCAGGCTGCTGTACATCATTATTTAAAATTTAATTTACTAAATTGAAAGATATCATGCTGCATATTAGCGAAATGGAGGAGCTTGACAGTTATTTACTATTCATGTGTAAATTAAGACAGTACCCTAAGACGATGCTATCACAACAAATGAGCTAGAGTTTTTTTTCTGTAGGTCTTCAGAAGAGATGGGGATGGAAAAAGAGGGGCAGAGGCGATGCCACTGTGCATGGCGCAGTCTGCTCAGCAGCTTCCAGGCTATGCCTGACTCAAGGCTTAACTCAGAGTTTGATTTTGAGCAGAATTCAATTGCAATTATTTTTTACCCATTACCTGTCCTCAACTTTCCAGTGAGAGTTTTAAAATGGAAATTGGATGGAAAATGCTATACATATAAATAATGTATTGACTCTTTTGTACAAGAGTATTTTGTATCCAAAAATGCGTTACTGCATGAGTGGATGTAGTGATATAGTTACTTGATTAAGGAAGAACTGAGAAATTAAGAACAGGCAAATAATTACATATTGTATAATGATCATTGCAGTGGATCTGTGCTGTTACTTCTCTGAGACGTGAATTGGGAGAACACCCACTGCCACAATTGGCTGTCATAGCATTGATGAGCCATCATACAATTACACTGTTTTTATACAGCTATAACATACTGTCAACACGAATGACTGGATCAGTTTACAGAAGAAAAAAATCCCAGTCTCATTATATACGTACACATACATATGCAACGGCATCAGTGCAGGCCATTCTATCTGGGGATTCAGCTGATAAATAACTGAGGCTCTTATCTTGCGATTTTTAAATGTCACTAAACCAGCCCAGATGTATTTTTATCCTTGTACTGCCAGGCTGCTTGTCCAGCAGCAGAGATCATCCTATAGCTTTCCGCGCTTGCCGCTAACGGTGTACAGGCACTGCGCATCACCGCGGGGGACACAGCGGCACATCAGCCACTTGCGAAAACGCGTTTGAGGCAGCCACCCGCCCCAG